ATCGGAGAAATGTTTCAGGATATGGTAGGATTTCCCTATTTTCATTGGAGAAATATTGTAGGGCATGGAGTTATCCAACCCTGAGTCATCTGAAGGCAATCCTGCACAGGGAAGGTTTTTTTTTAATGTTCAGTGTCTTGATATGTTTTTTTTATATGTTGGAAGCTGCCCAGAGTGGCTGGGGCAACCCAGTATGATGTGTGGGGTATAAATAGTAAAACCATCATTATGCAATGGGATGTCCCTATTTTCATCAGAGAAATGTTGGAGGGTATGCATATTCTAATTTATATGTGTAAATGCAGACTGAGAAATAGTTGCTAAAATTTAACAGAAAAGCAATTCATCTCACAAAACATAGGAAGACCAATGATCAGGTGACCAATGTGCCTGTTCAGTCTGCTGTCCAGTTGCTAGTTGTTGATGTGCAACTTCAAGGCCTCTGCTCTTCCTTCATCTTTACACTGGACTTTGACTGGACAGTCCTTCCAATAGAAGACACCTCCAAGTAGAGGATTATACTCTGAAAAGTACAAATGGCCACCCTTGCGTGCATGTTTTGTACCATCTTCTGCCTCACAGAGTCTAAGTCTATTTTTCTATTTTAAAAAATAAGTAACCTGGAGGTATGCTTCTCTCTCTGTCTCTCTTTTACAAAAAGTGAAACTCAGTACATGATGAGATCACCTTCCCATGAGACTCCCATTTCAATAACAAAAACTAATGAACTGAAACACTGAACTACTCAGAGTTGGAGTCTCAGTATCTTTCATCCAGATGGCAGAGGGGGCCTGGGTGGTCAGGTATGCAACACAGAGAAGGGAAGCAGGGTCCAAAACCTCAGTCAGATGGAGCGTTTATATGCAGCTCAAACTCAGACAGGGAAGAAAGGAGCCTAGGGTGAGTTTGCAGATCACTACAAGAAGACTGGGTGTTGTGGGGTGGTTGGGTCGGTGTCTTAGTTTAAATCGAATAAGAGGAACATGATAGAGGTTTATCATGGAGAGCCTGGAAAGAAACACACTAATAATAATAATAATAATAATAATAATAATAATAATAATAATAATTTATTATTTATACCCCGCCCATCTGGCTGAGTTTCCCCAGCCACTCTGGGCGGCTCCCAATCAGTGTTAAAACAGTACAGCGTTACATATTAAAAACTTCCCTGAACAGGGCTGCCTTAAGATGTCTTCTGAATATCAGGTAATTATTTATCTCTTTGACATCTAATGGGAGGGCGTTCCACAGGGCGGGCGCCACTACCGAGAAGGCCCTCTGTCTGGTTCCCTGTCTGGTTGCGGACATCCAGTGAAGATGACTATTAAAAGTTTCAGGACAGTCAAAAGAAAATACTTCATCACACAACACGTAGGAAAACTATGCAATTTGCTCCCACAAGAAGCCACCATCTTGGTTGGCTTTAAAAGGGGATTAGACAATTCCATCTTCATTTATGTAATTAATTACCTAAATTGTGTAATTTCGCCACAGTGTACAGCAAAGAGAATAGTCTAGTTTTTGGCAGTAGGCAAATTACACAGGAATGGAAACATTACTTCAAGTACAGGGAGGAATGGAAAATGATTCCTTCTTACATCCCTAATCAGGACATGCTATTGAGCAGCAGGAGCGGAACAACCACAACGCAAACATGTGGTAAAAAATTAAGAAATGGGTCCCTAAGTGCATGTTTGGGTTAAAGGTGGGTGCTGGCTCTGAAAAAGTTGAAGGCTTCTGCTCTAGAAGGTCACAAATCTTCTCCTGAACAGTGAAGAATCAGGTGCAGGAAGCTGGAGGGGAGGAATCTTCCAAAACCTACTTGTAGCAGGTAAATCTCCTTGATTTGGGAGCCATACCCCAGAAGCTCCCTGCACTCCACCCTACACACCTATGATCTTCAGGAGGGCCCCTTGACCCCCCCCCCCGAGAAGCATTTAGGGGGCTTCAAGGGGGGAAGAAGAGATGAATAAATTCCCTTCTATGAATTACCTTCTACTGCTGGTTCTCAGGATCCAAGCTATTGCTTTTGTTGACATACCTTCCCATAAAAACTAAACTGTTTTTATAAGTGGAATGTGGATGGGAGGTGAACAGAAAATATAATAGCAGGTGGCAAAAACCAAATACAGTAAATATTTTTTTTGTTTTGTTTTAAGTGCAGTTGTGTAGCTTTCAAACCTCAGAGGCCTTAATGTCGTAGGTCTTCTTCTTGAACTTTATCCGCCCTGGTTCAGTATCACTAAAAGTATATTAATGTCAAAGATTGCTTGCGTAGATTATTTATAAGGGCATTCGCTTCATATTAGTGCTGCATAAAATGCGCGAGTTCATAACTTGCCAAAAGCAAATGCAGCTTGCTTACTTGGAGCTGCAGAGAAGAGAACGAGCCGTTTGGCACGAGACACCTCTGCACAGATCAATAATGGAAGCATTAAGCGGGTCTCCTGTTTTAGAAGCAGTTCTTTATTGGGGAGATATGTTTATTCCACACATTAACAATACCTTAAGTAAAATGATAAAGAGATGAAGAAGGGTCCGTTTTCTAAGTGGCACAGTGGGAGCTATGCTCACAGGCCCGCTTGCTTCTAAATGCTGTTTCCCTACTTCTTGTAAGCATTTTCAATTACTGTGGATGTTTAGGCCCAAACTACATGCGATGCTTGGTTGCAGATGTTTCTACCACCACCCCAATATTTTTTTTTTAAAAAAACCCAAAGCAGCTATTTAAGAGGCCGGTGTTTTGGTTTTTTTTAATGAAATAAAAGGTATATTGAGTGGTGGAGAGAGGCAGTTTCTTAACTCTTTCATCTCTGGCCATTTGCCCACTCAACATCATCTCCCACCAGCTGTGTTTGGAATTGTATCTCTTCTGACATGGAGCAAAAAGCAGCTGCAGGAGCTGATTTCAATATGAAAACAACCAGAAGGGAAAGTGTTAAAACAGCCCCTTCCCATCTGCCTGCACTGCTGGTCTTCTGCCAAATTTTTCACTTTTGTTTATCTGTTTTTAAATCTCTGTCTGTGTGGAGGGAAAAACCTGCAACAGAACATCCCATGCAGTTTGAGCCCTGTTCTTTAACATGCAGGATTCATACAGAATTGAGTGGGGCTCATAGTTAGGAAGCCAGAAGTCTGGCTCATTTGAGTCACAATACAGTGTGCAGGTAGCGGATTCTGGAAATGGTTCTGGCATGTAGTCTGCTCTCTGGGCTCCTCCATATGTCCTTGTAATTGTGCGTTCGTGATTATTTGTGCTTATGGGGACATTATAAGCAATGCTGCTTTCGACACTACATTCCCTGGTACCTACAGTACTTATACGTGCAAAGGTTATGGGGTAGATATACTGCTTCATTTTCAATCACTGCATGCCCCACAATGTCTGGATGAAATCTAGCTATTTTCTACAGCGCAAATATACCAGGGTTTGGGGATTTTTTGAGTCCCACTTTTGGTGCACTATAGTGCAAGAGTGCCCCCCCTCCCCAGATGGCCAGTGATGCGGCAACGTTAGAGAAACATAGCAGAATAATGACAAAGAATGATGTGTGGATGGTCCAGTATAAACCCACTACTAGTGCATGATTATTGCATCAGTGGCATGTTGAAGAATCCACCCACGTGAAAAAGCACGAGTGTGGTGGGCCCTTCTGTGGATCACCCCACCATAAAAGGAATTGCCCGGCGGGTAGAAGCTCCTTTGATACATTTTTTTATCAGGCTTCAAATGACTTAAGAGACAAGTAAGAGGTTATCAGCACCCTGCAGGATGGTATTATCTCCATCAGGCTCTGCTACATTAGACAATTAATAAAGATGATTGCATCTCAGAGGCTAAATTTGGTATATTACTGCACTGTGCTTGACTTCTACTACCCTCATGACAAATGAGTCAGAGGTACAGCCATGGGGTTTTGAGGAATAACTCTTTATGCTAATTAATGGTATCAGTATACACAGGTTGAGGCTGATATAATCAGTGCAACCGATAATGCAGGTATAAAACACAATTAACTATTTGCATATACATGACAACAGATTTAGCAGCAGAGCAAACCTTTGGCAGTAACACCCCACCCCACCAACAAAGCTTCCCTACAAGAACAGGTACAACAAAACTGAGTGTTACAAACCTTATGGCTGAAATATATGAGCTGTGATTTGGGAGGTTGCCAAATTAATTCATTTTTCTCATTCAGAACCTGCATTTTTCTGACATGAGCTTGGTACCAGGGAATGTGGTTTGTAATAATTTGAATCTAAAACTCGAACCAAACCCGTTCAGTTGCTACAGAAATGAGATGGGGGAAAGTACACAAAATGTATACAAGAAATGCTCGCACAAAAAAGGAAAAGGAAATATTCACTGCAGTCCCTGAAATCTGACTGCAGTTGCCACAATCTATAGTTTTATGGTTTCTATCCATACTGAGCTCTTACCTGGAAGGACTGCCCCATCAATGTTAATGAAGGCAGCAATACAGCCATCAAGTTCTTGTCTATGTATGAATCTGATTCTCCATCTAAAGAAATGTTAAGCTTACGTGCAGACCATATGTGAAGCTCTTCATAATGGCAAATGGCGGCATGGAATTTTGTTATCATTTGGCCACCAGTTGGTAAACATAACCTTGTCAGGAGGCCCCACGTGTGTTCGTGGTGACAGTTACTTGATTTATGACTTTGAGTCAGGTATGTGATTCAGGACTCAACCCATACCTTTTTAATACTCTCAGAAAATTCAGTGAAAGAGGAAAGTTGAAAGAAGTTAGGGGTCCTCAGTGCTGGCCCAACACATAGAGTTCCCTAAGCTTAGGCCAACACTTGGGATGGGGGGGGGGACTTACTGCACCATTCGGTTCTTATCCTTATCTGCCTATCTGGTGCCACGGTCATTCCTGGGAGAGGGAAGAGGGAAGAACCATTGAGGCATGTGTTATTGTGCCATTGCTAAGCTGCAACTATTAATGCTACATTTCTTGGGTCTTTTTTAGTTAAGTCAGTCAACACCTGCACGTCAGCAACAGTGATCACCTGTGGAACATCTCGTGCCCTACTGGCGGAAGACAGCTGAACAAAGCATTCAGCATGCATGCTGCAACACCTAAGCACAAGAATGTGATTTAAAGGTAACGTGGGATTTTAATGCAGAGCTTTCCTAGGTTTAAGTCTCGACCTTAATGGTATAACTTGCATTGACATTTTTTCATTTTGTTTTGACATCATAATTGAGTCTAATCTCCATAGACTTGCATTGTGCTCTCACTTCAGATTGTAATCTTGCAGTGCAGTTTCACCCTAAGAGCATTGTAGTGCTGCTTTCTCCAAAGTGTGCGTGGAAATAATTTTACCATTGTAATATCACCTCGATATTGGCTTCATAACAAGGTCTCTGAAGAGCTGCACTAAAATAATTTGGCCACTATAATGACCTCACAATGTCATGAACCAATTGCCATTACAAACTCTAAATGAGCTTGAGAAGGAACTTCTGTGCTGGCTCATTAGCAACTGCATTCTGCTATGCCGAGCCTCTAATTTAAGCCTTCCTTACTCCATTACTGGATGACCACAGCTCCAAATTAGGGTAGCGTGGTTCAGCACCGCATTTTTATTAAGCACTTGTAGAGTGACATAGGCTTTGCTTATTTTTGTCATTATCAATGGCCTGGAGAGAATAATGCTCGATGTCTAACTTTACTTGAACAATATTATGAGAAATTAATAGGAATGCCCACACCTGAATGTTGCTAGACTTATCTGATCCAGCATCAAAACACATTCAGATCCAACTTCAGGCTTAGACTGTGATGAGGTGTAGCAGACACCTAGACCCCAGTTGACATTCCTGCATGCTTTCAAAATATTCCACTGGCTGCTTCGGCCGAAATCCTAGACCCGCTTACCAGGGAGTAAGCCCCATTGAACTCAGTGGGTTTGCCTCTGAGAACACCTGTCTAGGTTACACCATAACTCAATCTTCCTTTCTGAGGATTGGAAGCTGGGCTTTGGACAATGACTAGTTCAATAATAATGATGTTTAAGATACCTTATCCACATAAAGATATCCTCTCCATCCAACCAGGAAGTAAAATTAACACCACTGCATTGCACATTTTATTGCACTGAGTGATTATTAAGTAGAAAGGCTGAATGTATCTTCCTGGTGTGACCTGCTTTTCTAGGAATTATGGGGCTGTGGTAAACCATGATGCCAGTGTGCTGGAACATTCACAAGAACTGTGCAGCATACCAAAAATATCACGCCACAAGTGCTGCTTTAATTCTGTAAAAAAAGATGGTTGTGTGAGTCTGCTCCAATCCAAGTCTTTACAGAACATCTGAGAAACATATTATTCATTTATAGGTTTTAAAAATCCATTTTATCCTCTTGTACTTGTCCCCCTTCTTTCTCCTTCACTAGCCTGTTTTCCCCCCTCTAGTGATGTTCTTTTGATGACATGAGAAGTCACATGGGGGGCTTCTTTAATGAGTTGGGTGCTACTCCTGAGAAAGCGTTCATTATTTTAATTGAAGCCTTCATCGCTGGCTGACTTCCAAGTGGCCTACCAGATGTCTCTCTCTTCACAATGGTCGAAACAGATTACAATGTTCTTGTTCATTTTTCCTTTCCTGACAGCCTAGTTCCAAAAAGGTGCCAGACTTTAAGGCAACATGTTCAAAAGCTGGAGGGATGTGTCTATTCAGAACAGTATGCCAAGGATGATGAAGGGACATATCACGAAAGCTCAGATATTTGCACTTGCAAAGGTAAGCTGGGATTGCCAATCAATGGCCATTTATGTGGGTAGTGTTCTATTGCTAGGAACTTAATTTGCGACTTACTGGCACATTTTGGGGAATTGTTCAGGGCTTTACAAACCACAGTTTATGAAGCTGGGAAGATGCATTGGAGCTGAGCATTCCTCCCTATGCCCTCCTTTCTTACCCTTATGTGCTGCTTCAGAACTTCATTTCTGCCTTGTATTAAGCCACAGTTACCTGTTATGTCTGAAGTGGGGGACTCTGGCTTAATGTCAAGGCACCAAGATAATACGCCAAGATATATTCCTCTTGGCTTAATAACCAACATGAAGCCTGTATTCCTAGCTTGGATGTTCATTGGCCACAGTGAGGTGATAGTGAGAATCTGGTTACCCTTCCCTCTGAACAGCCAAGGGGAGTCAGGAACAGTAGTTGCATCACAGGACACAGCAGAGGATGGGCGGCAGCTAGATAATCAGAAGCGAGGTGTGGTGGCTGAGAACCTCTGGCTTCCTACTTCCACGAAGTATGAATTGGCCATACCTGTCTATCTCTTACTGAGATATGTTGCCTGCTCTCCAATCAGCAGCATCTGGCATTGAGAACTACTGGAGAGGGAACTGGAGTTTTTACATCTATTCCTTGATCTGTAAAGAATTGCCGTGCATTGCTTGAGGGCATCATGAGTGGGGTTCCCCCCATTTTTGGTTGTGTTTTGGCTGACCTTGGGGGCATGCAGTTCTGTCCTAGGTGAGCGACAGTTGGGAAGGGGTTGGAGTCTGACCGCTTTTCAGGTGGGAGCTGGGAATTGGTACCTGATGAACTAAGGAGAGAATATGAATGTGACTGAGTATTTGGGTGAATGATGTGAGGTTTTTATTGGGGCTGGTACAATCCTAGATTAGATTTGGTTTTAGCCTCATAATGTTGGAAGCAGGAAGATGGTAGTCTTTGTCTTCTGCCACATCTGGCTGCTGCTGGGGCTCTTAGGGAGCTGTTGGCGAAATTTGGTCTTGGTATTGGTGGAATGGAAACCTCAGGAACAGTGAGAGTTAGTGGGAGTGTCCCAAGCTAAGATCTAGAGGCAAGCAGTCTGGGGCTTGGTGATAAACTGTAATGGGCTATCTACTCAACTGGGCTATCCACTCAGCAGCTAAAAGATAAAGCTTTACTAGTAAAGCTGCCAACACAAATCAGCATGACCAGTAATGTGCTAATTAATATGGTTGCTACTTTAATTTGGTGTGGAAATATACAATATCCGTGTCACTTCAACAAATAGTGTATGTGGCTATGATCAGATCCATGCACACACAATTTATCAGACTAGGACGTGTGAGACCAGGGTTCAAATCCCTACTTGGCCATGAAGCTGACTAGGTGACCTTGGGCCAGTCAGTGCCCCTCATCCCTACCTCACAGGGTTGTTGTAGGGATTAAATGAGGAGGGTGAGAGCAACGTATGTCACATTGACCTCTCTGGAGAAAAGATGAGCTATAAAGACAATAAATAAATAAAAACAACCCAAGATCTGTGAAGACGTACTCTACATTTTTACGATAACCTCTCACTTATTTCTCAAGTCATAATACTTACTCTTTCCCACATATTTACTTTACATTCTTCTTGTTGCTTTGTTGTTTTGTTATATTGCTTTTATGTACTACCTGCAAAGTATAAAACCTAATAAATACAATTAACACCCCCCCCAAGATAATTGAAAGAAATGGAAATTTGAATGGAAGGGGCACCAAATATATTCCTTACTCAGGGCACCATTTAATCTAAGGCCAGCCTTATCAGTAGCCAGGGGAGGGAAGGGAGTGGATGACACTTTGCACATTAGGTATGCATCTAAGTTGTTTTGTGTCTGTGCCCAAACATGTAAAATGTGAATGTGGCAGTGAATGTGTCATACAGAGGCAAGTGTCAGGGAGCTGTGGTTGCTGTAGCCCCCAGCTGCATACACAAACTCAGTCTCAGGCATGTCTATGCACCCAAGTGTGAAATGGTTGTGTTTATGGAAGAAGTACAAAGGGGAAAACGCATGTGTAGGGCATAGCTGGTTCAGGTTCACCCTAAAGTGAAGCACAGTGCTGTGGTTGGCTCAGGGGACACTTTTGAGGTGCCAAATTCTTGCTATATCTTTTTGCCGTGAAGTAGATATGCATGTGCTCGGGACGTGGGTGGTGCTGTGGGTTAAACCACAGAGCCTAGGGCTTGCCGATCAGATGGTCTGTGGTTCGAATTCCTGCGATGGGGTGAGCTCCTGTTGCTCGGTCCCTGCTCCTGCCAACCTAGCAGTTCGAAAGCACGTCAAAGTGCAAGTAGATAAATAGGTACCGCTCTGGTGGGAAGGTAAATGGCGTTTCCGTGTGCTGCTCTGGTTTGCCAGAAGCGGCTTAGTCATGCTGGCCACATGACCCGGAAGCTGTACGCTGGCTCCCTCGGCCAATAAAGCGAGATGAGCACCGCAACCCCAGAGTTGTTCGTGACTGGACCTAATGGTCAGGGGTCCCTTTACCTTATATATGCATGTGTGTGCATGCACAAGCACAACTTTTGTTTTTCATCTGAGGGGCCAGCATGTCCCAGAATAAGAAGGATCTTTTCCCGCTTGGAATGCACTTCCAAGGAGATGCTTCTGCTAGTGATGGATAACTCAGAGAATTAAACCATGATTTCATGCATGGGGCATAGTATGAAACTCAGCCTTTTCAGCAAAAGATAGCCCCAGTGCCATTTAAGACAAAAGAGCAAGTTTATTGTATTAAGCAAGGGTCTTTCACAGGAGGAGGTGGCCCCTAATTGTGTGAATAGTTGTGCGGGTATAAAGACCCTTGTACTGATGATTTATCTGAAAGTTCTGGGCATATTAACTTTTGCTAAGAGCAGAGACTAAAAACTTTATGGGGAATGCTACATACACTCCAAAGACCAACAAGAGAATTTAAGTTAGATGTGATTAGTATGAAGAAAGTTACATTTATTATACTCTTATGTATAATTGATCATATGAAAGGCCTTTTGTAACTATAAAAGAGACAGCACATTAAATTGTTTTACCCTGAGGATTATACAAATTTGTGGATATCGGATTGAAACACCAGCCTATTGGTTTCATTGCTATGGTAAATCATTAAGATGTTCTATTTTAATCATAAATCTTGGTATCTATTTATTGTGAATCAAATAGCTCCTCCCAGCCTTTTGCTTTGCTTCATCTGTCAGAGGCAGCCCAAGTACAATCTGGTAACAACAGCATTAATTTCTATTAATAGAGAGTGTCTGTGTTCCTTTAATATGCATGGCACATAATTTTATATTATCCTAAACATGGAGAATTATAGCTGAGAGGCCCATCGTTTATCACAGAAGAGGGTATTGGGTTTTGGAGATGAGGGGAAGCATCCAGGGTTGATAAGGAGATTCATGGCTTGCAGTCGTACATCCAGGAATGATTTACTCATTGCTGTTGTACTGAAGAAGTGTAGATTGGGGATACTGTCAGGCTGATAAAAATCGGGAGGGTATGTTTGTGCTATCCCCCCCTCCAAATTCTCTTTCTTGTCCACAGGCAATTTGGTCAACTGGAACTGAAAAGACCTCTTCAGTTCTGCAAGTTAGAAAATAAAAGCAGGCAAAGGAAACACACTTTGCAAATATGAAGACTTCAAGTTAGAATCCTCAAACTTAACCGTAGTGAATTGTATGAAGGAGCAAACATGTTTAGGAATTCAACACAGTGCAGAACACCTTCAATCACTATCTGCTTTCATGGTTCAACCTGAATACCACATCTTTACAACTAACTGGTGTTGAGTCGTTATGTGGGCATCAGCCACCACTTCTCCCCTTTTTGTCACTGTTATTGTTTAGAACGGATTGCACTAAACTGATGCAGTCCTTTGCAAATGACAGCTGCGAGCAATCTTTCACAATGGTATTGCAGCTAAAAGGCTGCACAACGGTTTGTTAAGCTCTGTAAGGAGGAAAATACAGTTCCCAGGATTCTTTGGGGGAAGTAATGTGCTTTAAATGTGCACTGAATATGATTTCAATGCCTGGTGCGGATCTGACCTGAGATTCGTTTTAGATATGCACATAAAAGGTAAAGGTACCCCTGCCCGTACGGGCCAGTCTTGCCAGACTCTAGGGTTGTGCGCCCATCTCACTCAAGAGGCCGGGGGCCAGCGCTGTCCGGAGACACTTCCGGGTCACGTGGCCAGCGTGACATTGCTGCTCTGGCGAGCCAGAGCCGCACACGGAAACGCCGTTTACCTTCCCGCTTGTAAGCGGTCCCTATTTATCTACTTGCACCCGGGAGTGCTTTCGAACTGCTAGGTTGGCAGGCGATATGCACATAGGGCGATATGCACATAGGGCATTTTAAATACATACGCCTAAAAACCAAAATGTGAGTGTGACAAATGCCAGAATCATAGAGTGTATCATAGAGATGCACTTGTTGGAAGTTGAGATTGGAGGAAACTCCCCGTTGCACACTAAAAGGATACCAGAGTTTGCCGTATGTTATTGTGTGAAGTGACCGTGATATTCACCTTTCTTTGTCAGTGGCTTCCATCTTATTCACTCCATTCAGTTATTGTTGCTTTAACCGCCTTCCTCCAAGGAACTGAGACTGGCATAAGTGGTCACCCTCCCATATCATCTGCCCCACAACCCTGCGAGGTAGGTCAGGCTAAGAGGTTGTGACTGGCTGAAGGCCAGTGAACTATGGGGCTAGGTGGGTCACTCGCAGTGCTAGTGCAACGCTTCGTGCACCATACTGCCCTACACTTTCACCCTTTCGGTAGTCACTTCCTCCATCTCCTTCACCTAGAATGTCAGCTGCTTCAGCTGCTGCATGTAAGTCCTTAATTTGTCCAGCTCCTGGGAGAGTTTGGGAGGAATCGTTCTTGGAGAAGCAAAGAGCTTGTTGCCATAGGAGCAAACTCCATAGGGCACATAGACTCCTGTATTGCATTAGTTGTTAGGGATGATAGTGTGTTGGTATATTGCCTCTCACTCAGTAAAAACATATCCTGGGAAAGGCCAGGCAGGAGTTTTCCCTTCCTTTAGCATACGATTCCATGCATGAAAAAGTTTCATTGTGCACATTATAGAGTCCCTGCATTTAAAGCAGGGGAGATATATATATATTTAATTGATGGCAGCTGGTGTGGTGTACAGACAGCTGGGCTGGGAAGATCTCAGTTCGAATCAAGCCACGGTCTTTCAGCATAACAACCTAGCAGGGCTGTTGTGAAGAAAATAAAATAATACTAATAATATAAGGAGACAGACCCAGGTATGCCACCTGACGCTTACAGGAGGAGTGGTAAGGTACAAATAGGGTTGCCAACAACAGCCTGATCTGCAGAAATGAAGCTTTTCATAGCAAGGAAATACGTACAATCATCTGCTAATATCTGCATGTTACACTGCGGCGAAAAAGCGCAGGAGTCAGGCCTGTGAAATAGCAGGCACAAATGTAACAGTATATAAATACATTTAACTAGTCTGGCTGTATATTTGAAAAGGAGGGCTGTGAAAAGAACTGACAAGGTCAAGAGAAGCTTTCTGGGGGATTTTGGGTGGATAGTGTGGGGTGGGGAGGGGGAACTGATGGAGGTGATAGTAGTGATTCCATCGGTGGTGGAGGGAGAGAAATTGCCAACTTTATTACAAACCCTCCAGCTGCAAGCACACGCTCTTACAAGAGCCCCACACATGCTGTTTTAGGGCAGCTTGACATGAAGAGGTGGCTGCTGCCGGCTTTTGTTCAGAACTGTCCCCTTTGCAGGGCTGAGGGTTCCCCATCCCCCGCAAAAAAGAAAAAAAAGAGGGCCGGATGAAAATGCCAAGAATTTCTCTGCAGTCAAACTTGTGTATTTCACCCGGCCCTGCCGATGTTAGTGACAGAATACTGCTGTTTCTCTTAAAGGCGGAAAAATACAGCGCCACCAGCCCTCAAAGGATCTCTGTCACGTGCTTACTTTATTGCTCTACCTTTGTGCACAGTAAGTTGCCACTTAGCTTCAGTTGCTGTTCTTGACTGACATTGTTATTTGTCTTGTACATTTCAGAACTGCTTTGTAGTTAGCCTGGGAAATTGAGAGTACATATGTGGTTAAAAATGGGCAAGGGGGGGGGCGGGCGGGAGCAGTGAAAGAGGTGAAGAAAAACGCCGCTATGTTCCCATTAGTGCCTCTGCCATGCTCTCCATTTTCCTATTGTCTCCTTCCAGAGCTTTTCTGCTTAGACCGAGACTTCTGTGATTGGAGTATTAAGTTGAAAAACCAGCAAGAAAGAAGGATGTTTCTTGAAATGCTCTAATGGCCAAAGGGGTGGGGGAGAAGCCTACCAATGTATGATTTATTTAAATTTATAGTCCAGCATATGCTAAACACTTGGGGCAGGTAACAAATGGGTGGAGAAAGCATAAATAAAAACAGGATTAATAACCAAGCACAAAAATGCATTAAGCCCCACACAACTCTCAGAGGTTGCCTTGTTTGGAGTTGCAAAGGAATTTTTTACCAGGTTATTCTGATTAGTGATTGTGCAGTAATTTTGCTTCCTCTGGATGTGAGTTCCCTTACTCCAATAATCTTGAGATAAGTGCTTTTGCTGTTATGCAGGGATCCCCTCCTTCCTGCTACAGCACACTGGGATCTGAGTTGCTCTGTCGTCTGCTGAGGTGTACAATATAGATTTGGGCTGTATATGTTGGTCCTTTCCAGTTCTGCTGTTCTAACCAATCAGTTGTGTGTTGTTTTAGAAGATGAAGCTAGGATCAGCAACGTGAATAGTGAAGTGGGAAGAGCTTGGATGCACACTGCGCCCCAAGAGCTTCCTACCTTGGTTCTCAATTCTGATGATCCAAATACACCATGCAAGTGATGCTACGGTTCAGGGGCAAGAAAGCGGTTCTAAACTATTTGTGCCGTGCGGTTCACCTTACAAATAATTAGGGGTGTTAGAAATGCATAATAAGACTATGGAGAAATTGCCAACAGCTTCTAAGGCAAGTAGGTCAAACATAAAAGAAAACACTTCCATTTGATTAGGAAATCAGATTTGAGACTTGGCTTCACCCCTACATATCTGTTGTTATTCCGTACTCATGGGAGTGACTTAAAACAGAAATCTGTTTCTGGATATAGCCCACAATATGGCCTTGCATCAATTGAATTCTTATGATTTATTTTTTTCTGCATTAAAAAATGAGATGGAATTGGCCCAGCTATTGTTCCTAAATATCAAGATAGACTTTTGCTTCACCACCACAGAAGAGCCAAATACCCATCAAACACCACTTTTATGAAGCGTCTCAAAATGTCTAGTCTGTCCAGCAACCATTGTGTTTGGATAAACTCTGAAGGCTGCCTTCTGGATTTTCTTTTCAGAGACAGGGACCGTGTGGGCCTCCTGCAGATCAGCCAACTCTGGGATTTGGGCATACTCTTGACGAATAAAGAGGATGGCACCGTGCCTCCAGGGGGTTGGAATGCAGGGCAACATGTTTGCTCCAAAATAAACGTCATGTACAATACATTCATAAGGTTTGTTGGGTTTACTTACATTGTCAGGGTGCTGTCTCCTGGAGATGTTAAAACATTTAGGGGCCTTCAGCTAAGCAATTCCATGTGAAAGTCTTCTGGCAGCAGCATGTTCACACTGCGGTAGGTAACCACATGCATCATTTTCTGTTACTAATGAAGAGTGTGTTTGCGATTGCGCCGAGAAGATGTGTCTCATAGATAGATACCAGATTGCCCTAATGGCAGACACGTGTGAAGTTGTACCATACACTTCTTGATCTGGGCCATATTTCCAAAGTATAAAAATAACCCCCAAAAAGATAGATTTGCTTATTTATTTCATTTATTTATTTTGCTTTATCTGTCTAGTTATTAATTTTAAATCCAGCACTTCCTCACCAAGGAACCCAGGGCAGCAAAAAACACCAGAACAATGCTGTAAAAACAACAACAACAACATCAGTTTAGAACCATTTAAAAAACAATCACATGTTCTCACAGCTAATCATTTCAAGGTTGCAAGGAACAGAAACATTCAGCCATCAAATGCCTTGGTAAACAGGAATGTTTTGAATGCTCCTGAAAGTTAATAAAGAGGAAAACAGATGCACCTCACCAGAGAGGGCATTCAGCAAATGGTAAACTGCAACTGAGAAGGCCCTGTCAGTGCCAATGAGATAGCACCCTGCGGTGGCACCATTAGCAAAGCCATCCTTGCCAATATTAGGGCCCAATATGGTGTTATACAGAAATGCAGTCTTTTTTGGTACTTGGGCTCAAAGCTGTTTAGGGCTTTGCATGCTTGTTTGCACACATCGGGCATGGTAGCACACTGGCAGTCAATGCAAGGCATTCAGGACTGGTGTCACACGGTCCCATCAGGCTTCCTCACTTACCAATTTAGCAGATGCATTCTGCACTAACTGCAGTCTCTGAACCATCTTCAAGGGCAGTCCCATGTACAGCACATTGCAGTAGTCCAGGTGAGAGGTGAGTGGAGCCGGCTAGCCATGAACAGCTGTAGCTAACTAACCAGCCTAAGATGGGCCTATACACTGCTAGTGACAGAAACTATTTTAGTGAGTTATGGGGATGTATGAAGTAGGTGTGCACTTGGGCACACAGTGGGGAGGCATAACTTATTCCTGTACCTGGTGGCCACAGGTATTAATAATTATCAAGACAGCTTCTGTCTGCATAGCCTTTGGGTTTCTCTTCGTTGGTCACACCAAAGTGTGACAGGATGTTGGAAGAACAGAATGGAGTGTTGGGAAGGGAACTGGCTTGTCGCACATTGGTGACAAGGGGGGATTTCTTCAAACTGCAAAGAGCAGCTTCAAAGGAGCAATTTTTGTCACTACTGCAGCAGGGAAAATTGAGCTGCTCCTCCTTGTCTGCGGTAGTCCTGATAATTATGCTTTTTTAATAGTGCACATTAAATGCAAAGATACATTTAATATCATGTATAATTTGTTCCTTAGATAGGTAGAAGGACACACACCTTTCATAGGCTGAGCCGTTAGGCATTCTGGGGCATGGTCTTGCTTCTTTCGGATGGCTTGGAAATCACACCTGGAACAGGAAGGGAAAACTATTCAAGTATAAAGGTAAAGGGACCCCTGACCAGTAGGTCCAGTCATGACTGACTCTAGGGTTGCGGCGCTCATCTCGCTTTATTGGCCGAGGGAGCTGGTGTACAGCTTCCAGGTCATGTGGCCAGCATGACTAAGCCACTTCTGGCGAACCAGAGCAGCGCATGGAAACGCCGTTTACCGCCAGAGCGGTACCTATTTATCTACTTGCACTTTGACGTGCTTTCGAACTGCTAGGTTGGCAGGAGATTCAAGTGTAACCTATCCATTAACTGAGTAAAAACCTTATTGTGACTTTGCTAAGGAGATTGCTCGATAATGGAGATTGCTAATGGTTCGGAAATACTCAGACATCTGTATAGAATGTGTAGAAGTTGCAGGGGGGGGGGGACACACATCATCAAAGCTTCAGAAAGGTTACACATACTCCCTTGCCCATCTAAGAGAAGGAAAGCTGATAAAGGTTTGTGTTGTGTGTCTGTGCATGTGTGAGAGAGTGAGAGAGAGTAAAGCAGCTGTCCTCAACTTGTAGCCCTCCAGATGTTGTGTTGTATTAGAACTCTCTCATCACCACTGGCCATGCTAGCTGGGGTTGCTAGGCACTTGAGTCCAACAGTGTCTCTCTATCTGCCTAACACACTTCCTCCTTGTCTGAGCACCAAAGGTACGGTAGTTTTAGAACATAGACAAAACAAGGGGTAAGTTGAGAGAGAGAGAGACTGGTTGAAGGCACCTTGTTAGTGCTAAGTGCATCTCTCTGGAGTCCTGAACTGAGGTAGTGATGCCTCTGCCTGGATTGTCCCTAGTCCTTATCCCCACCCAAAAATAAATCAAACCCAGGGAGTGCTGCCCCTGGAGATTCTCAATATTTTGAGATGTGGGGAGTGGAGTCTGTCTGCTTTTGTTGTGAGTTTCTTTTTTCGATTGATATTTCTGGGTGTTTTTATCATTATTAATGTACTCTTCAGAGATAGCTGGCAAAAATGTTCAAATGCCGAGGAGTCAAACCCATTTTAAGCTATTTTTGTTTACTTTTTTAAAATGCAAATGACCCTTTGTTATGAGGTCAAGAAAGAATATTCTGATTAGGCCTAGAATGTGTTCTCTCTTTCTTGCTCTCTTCCTAAAGTGCCTGGTATAGAAACTGTTAAATCAAAGCCAGATGAGAAGTCCAAAATGTACTATTTATGTTCCTTTGAACATCATTCTAGACCTTTTAACATGCTTCTCCCAATTAAGCTGTTCAGGCCACAGATCTAAATAGCTGCCTGCACTGGTTGCCAATTGATTAATTCCCTAATGATGGATTGAAGCTACTGTTTTTGTTTCTTAATCTTCTCTTCTCCATTAACGGCGAATCATTCAGTGAATGTTCCTTTCAAAAAAATAAGTAAACAAACTGGAGTAAGGGGGAGCAATTTGCATGTGGATTTATCACAAAATGATGTTTTGATTGGTGTTAATGATACAGTTATTTTGTTTTATCATATTTGTATAGCCCCAGCCGTGTGCTATGCTACTGTGCAAATCTAAAGAGTCATTATTAGGACTTAATCTTACAAAAATGCCTGGGATTTAAACACAGCGTATTAACCAATGTAATCCCAGAAAATAGCATGGTCAACCTGAGTTCAAATACCTCCTTTGCTAAGGAGGATTCAATGGGTGGCCTTGGCCTGTAAATGGAAATGATCACTGACTGTACCTATTACTCTAAATAAGTTTTCTAAAAGTTTATTGCTTTGTTAACACATACAAGTGACTGGGATCCCTGTGAAAACCAATGGGGGTGGTGATGGTGGGAAGGTGAACTTTGGGGGAAATCTCTTCTCCCAGGGGCAAAGGAGAAGAAACAGCTGGATTTTGCCCTTCCCCATCCAGTGACTTTGGAGGGGAAGAGGAGGGCGTTGCTAATCTTTCCTTTGGTGTGCAGAAGTGTGCTGTGTTGGGAGGGGAAGAAATTAGGGCTCAGAAACATAGCAACACTGCAGTCTCAGAGCCCAATTTGCCTTCCTCTTTCCCTGCAGTACCTTCACAGAGGAAGGGAGGATTCATGCAACATAATTTATCCTTCCATCCCTGCTCAAGGCTACTGTCTACATACTGGTCTCTGCAGTAAGACAGATTCCCCAGTGGAACTGGGAAGTGCTTATGTACTGCCAACAGCTGGAGCTGTTCTGAAGGGTTATAGGAGAAAGTGCATAAAAAAAACAAACCACCATAATGTTGCTTTAAAAAAGATTTTTAAAAGACCCTTTGCAGTCACTGTCATCAATGATGTTGCTAAAACCATCTGGTTGCTAAAAGTGACCAGGATTTATACACCACTTTTCATTTACAACAATAACAAAGAGATTCAGTAAAATGTTTCCATACCAAGGCATCAGGACCGGTACTAGCGGTCAAGGTTAACAGATGGGTCCTTAACAGTTGGCAAAAGAATGGCAAAAGAATTCCTACTGAAATTAGGTGCCCATTAGTCATTACAGCATTATGGTGTTGTAGACCTTTATTTCATAGCTAGATGAGCATTTTTGTCCCAGTTAAAACATTCAGAAGGACTGCACCCAAAGCAAATATGCCACACCCACTGGGACATACTCATAGTGAAAAGTACAACACTCTTAATAGTAGGGAAAGTCAGCAGCAATTCTCATTGTAGCTTACTGAGTAAGAACAACTATTGGGTAATGTTAGGAGCAACACTTCTGAAAGCAGCCCTAGCCAAATGCCCACCATACCAATACTTTGTGGGCTAAACCAGCCTCATATAACCAGCATGCTTGAGTCTAATGAATGTATGAAGGGGTTGATGCCATAGAGTAAGCTGTCCTGCTTTAGTGTTAGCTTATGCTGCTTCCCCTCACCTTGAGAGGAAATAGATGACCAAGCCTTTGTTCCCTCAGCCTATATGGTGTGTGAGGAGCTCTGAATTGTTCCCTCCAGCTGCATGGCTTTAACCAGCCTCTTTTGTTTCAGACCAGAATGGAGACTGAAAACAGTGTTTTCTTATACCAATAGTTTAGGAACTTTTACCATTTTGTAAACAAGCTACATTTTACTGCCTGTTCAAAGTTTGTTTGTTTGTTTGTGGTTTTTTTTTACTGCTGTATGGGAAACCACATGAATCTGACCTTTGGAGAGTTTGTAAATAAACCATTTTATAACTTTCCAAACATTTTTCTATGCTAAGGGGAGTAGGAAACTTTGGAAGGAGCTTTATAAAGGGGACATTATGGAGTTCACTGGAAAGGTCGCACTTTAAAGGTTTTACAGTCTATATTTCCACACTTTTCTTTCTTGCAGGTTTTGCCATGTTAAATTTCTGCTGGGGTTCTCTCACCAAAGAATACTTGCCCCAAACTGGACCTTGGTTTCCAAGGAATTTTTCCAACAAACTTGAATCAGAATATTCTTTTGTGCAGGATCTTGAAATAATCTCCCATGAAATTCTCCATTCCTCCTGCTCTGAGGGAGGGGAATGTACACACTATCTCAGCCTACTGCTACATCTAGCATTCTTCTTGGTAAAATACAGAAAGGAATATTTACCTACTTCACAGTGCCATTAAGAGGCTGTATTAATTAAATGCTTGCAAAGCATGTTGAGATTATCAAGTGGAATAATCTGTCGTTCATATAAATACAAAATGTTATTGTGCTGGATAGATCTCATGAGCTAAAACTGGCATTGTTGTGGTCTAAATAATCACAGTGATTAAGGAGGCTAATTGTATCTCCAGGACCTTGTGGCCAAAATGTGCTAAAGATGGGGAAAGAGATTCATGGTGAAACCTATGTTCTCTGTCATGAAATATAAATTAAAAATAATTCTATTACAGCAGAATACTGGCATTGTTACATTCATAATGGATATCACACACGTCTCTCTCCCTGCTCTCACTTCCAGGCAAATAATGTTAGAGAAACTATGGCAGTATTTTTCTTCTAGGTGTAATAATCTGTCAGTATCAAATTCTCTTAGTCAGTAGGGAGCATATAGTGTTGATTTACTGAAAATCTTGGATTATGTCTGCTCGGTGGTGAGTGTAGATTTAAGAGGGGAGAGGTAAGGGGTCTCCAAAAGGTGAAGAAATAACACAAAATGAAACCTAGCAAGGAAAAAAATAGCTTGACAGTTAAGATGCAGTGCAGTAACCCAGGCTTCTTGAAGAAAAACCCTAGCAGACTGGCCTCCAAATGCTACATACTGTACATTTTACAACCTATTCAATTATATCCCTAACTGCACTGCACTGGAAATGCTTGATTGAAAGAAGTCTTTACACTTGCCAAACGAAGAGAGGGGGCAGAGAGATATGACTGTTTCCCAGCACAGAAATAATTTCAGTTTTAGGGACATATAATTAATTTGGCAAGGCTGTTAACAACAGACATTTTTAAAAGGGCCAATGCTCTACTTTCCAGAACTGTAATCTAATCTCAGTTTCTTATTGAAAATGTTACACAAGTTGTAATTGTAGAAGAATATTGAAGGGGGCTCAGAGAGAACTTGATCACATTTTATGAGATGAGCTAAAATAGCATGTGGTTCGTACTCCTTTTTATCTGCTAATGTGTGAACAATGGGGTGCTGAAATTGTCTCATACTTCCATCTGCACGGTGCTTAACAATACAATGTGTAGTGTGGAAGTGAGGCAGATATTGGCAGTCAAGAGACAGAAAGACCCCGTCTGCACTTGACATTTAATGCAGTCCCATGCCACTTTAAACAATCATGGCTCCCCCCCCCCAAAGAATATTGGGAAGTTAGTTTATTAACAGTGCTGAGAGTAGTTAGGAGACCCTCTTATTCTCTTCACTGATCTACGGTTCCTAGAGTTCCCTGGGATGAGAGATTGATTATTAAACCACCCTAGCCTTGTTGGTCTGTGAAGGGAATAGGAGCCTGCTAACAACTCAAAGCACTGTTTAAAAACTACAGTTCCCATGATTCTTTGAGGGACTCCATGGCCATTTAAAGTGGAAATGTCCTTTGCCTCAGGGAGCAAAATGTCTTGAGCTGGCCCTGAGGGTAAATATTCTTAGTCATTTGTGAGAGGTTATATGCTGTTCTTTCTCTTGAGATAAATTAAGACATAGTTATTAGGAAACAAAGTTTGACAGGGTCCATTAAAATAATTTCGTAGCAGAGAGATAGGGAGACAGAATACTCCTGTTATACAGAATGCAGTGGTGTGAAGACCTTTTGTCTATTACATGAAATGCGATGGCTGGCCTTTGACAACTGTGAGAAATCGCTACTAGTTTTTGTCTGGTACAAGCAGCCTCTATGGTATAAGGGGAGGATGCTGTGCAGATTGTCAGACTCCTAGCCGCCTCCTGTCACCTTTCAGTCACATCATGGCAAAGTGATTTTTTTTAAAAAAAACATCTGAATACTAGGAACAGCACGAGCTAAATTCTGAGCAATAAAATGCTAGAAGGAACAGAGGAACAGTGTCCAATTTTAGGTTGATGGCTGTGTTGAGTTTGTAGGGCTGCAGGGTGAGCCCATTGCACATCTTCTGGCATGACTTGCATGAGGCAGGAACAGATTCCCTCAGAAGGTGGTGGACTCTCCTTCGTTGGAGGTTTTTAAGCAGAGGTTGGATAGCCAGCAGTCATTGGTGCTTTATTTGAGATTCCTGCATTGCAGAGGGCTGGACTTAATGACCCCCAGGGTCCCTTCCAACCCTACAGTTCTATGAGGTAGTGCTTTCCTTTAGTTTAATGAATGAAGAGGTGTGGCCCATTTGTAGCAATATTTAAAAATCCCCACCTCTCCTCAAGTTCAAACACTATGAACCAAATGACTGTTTTCTCTTTAAAAGAAGCAGAAAGCATGAATAGCTTAGTCTGCTGCTGTTGCTGCCACAACTTTTATCAGCCACGGTCCTGTTCGCACCTTATGCCAATCTCAGGCTGCCTTGGTAACCCAGAAGACATCCACTAACAACAGCAGCATATTAGTCATTTTAACTGCCCAGGATTATTATGTGAAGAAGGCCAGTTTTTAAAAAAATCTCTTAAATACTGCAATGGAAATCCATCCTATTCTATGAATAATTTGGGTGTCCTTCTGACATCTCTGAACTACAGATATGGAGATGGCATTGTGCACTGCAATGGCTCCTAAAAGTCACCCAATAGTAAAATATAAGCTGCTCTTAAAACAATTTCAGGGCACAGTGCAAGTAACAGAAAGCCTGTTTCCATGACAGAACACAAATTATTAATAAATCAGGCCAAACAGGACAAAAAATGAAAAATAGGTTTCATCAGTAAGCATTAGTGATTTATTATTAAATAATAATGTTATCACATGAGCACGTGGTGTTGTGTATCTGTTTTGTGAACCTCACAGAATAAGCTGGAAATTGGGATGCAATAAAAACACTGAAGCGAAACTCAACAGTGACACTACACTGTGGATCTTTTCCTTACGCTTTCACAATCAAAATTGTGTTCAGGGAGACAAGGGCATGGCACACATTTTACATGTTATTCCCCTGGCAGCTGAAACCACAATTAAATGGTTGTGAAAGAGCCCACTTGACCTACTTACTTTTCTTATTGGTCACTAGAAACAATTCATTAGAGAAAAACAAAAGTCCCCAGAAACTACAGTTTACCTCAAATGTATGGATGGCAGTATCACAGCCCTTGCATCACAAACACATTCTTCCCTACCAAGACAAAGCAGCAAGTGTCCTGAAGACATCCAGGATTAGGCCACTGGCAGCAGGAGATTGGTCCTGAACTGTGTTTTTGTCACATGGAGCTACCACAGTGTCAGCTGTAGCACAGATCATGCCCTGGTGGCAAGTAAGATCTTTCTCGAGGGCCCATAGCTCAAAGCAGAAAGTGTGGCCTTGAATCTACACTGCCCAAACAGCCATACCTGAACTTTTTGAATGCTTCTCTGATTCCATCGAATATGCATTACTGTGAGAAGACACTTGCTGCACTGAGAAAGGCGAGGAGCAGTGCCCAGTGGTTTGCCAGTTGATGTGCCATTGTCTACAGGCTAAAGCTGTGTCAGAGCATTCAACTCACAAAATGTACACGGAGACAGCCTCTGGACCATAAGTCAAGAAAATGCACCACTATAAACCTTGTCTGGAGAGATAATCACGGATAGTAGCAATGGGCAGAGCTCTGTCAAGAACTATACTTGCAGGGAGATGCCTCTAACACTCCACACATCAGCAAAGGGTTCCTTACCTTTAAACTGTATTTGAACCAAACATCCCTTCAAATACAGGACTGCACACAGAGGAAACCTGGGACACCCCATAACTCCCAAATTTCCCGATTTAACTGGGACTTCCCAGATTGACAGAAGTTGCCCCATCTTCTGATCCTAATCTGTCACGAAGTGGCAGGACGATGGGAAAGAGGAAGAGGATCCCATGGAGGGGTATAACCAGGACTGGGACACATCGGGGTAAGCTGGGGAGGGAAGTACTCATAGGGTGACAAAAGATGGTGGGGGAATGGGGGTCATTGCACAGGACCCAGAGCAGCAGGACCCTAAAGCCAGAGGGGCCCCTGTCTCCATGAACATGGCATGCTCTAGAAGTAGGGAGCAGCAAGGAGGGGTGCTCTAGGAGACTGAGGCAAACAAGGGCCCACAGCCCAGCTTCTTAGCTGGCCAGGTGGGGCTCGCTAGCTCTGAGAGAAAGAGTGTGATTCCTCAGCTGGAACAGGTGAGGGTCATATGCCTCATTAAGCCCAGCAGGCAAAGCACACAAGGGAAGCAGAGCTGAGGCGCTGTATCTCCTCGACAGCCAATTTAGATGGATTTTGGCTTGGATACTCCTGGACTGTGCTTTGGGTTTGACTCTGGACTGCAGCCTTTAGACTTGGCTTACTTGGACTGACCCTGGACTGTGTTTCCTGGACTTTGGGCCTTGCTTGCATGGATTGACCCCCGGACTTTGACATACCGACTTGTCACCAGGTAGGCCAGGGGTTCAGGACACAATCCTGGGTGTCCCATTTTGGCTTCCATGCTCTGGCGGGTGCGGCATCTGTCAATGCTGTGCAGGCTGTGGCAACCTTCAACAGGCCTCTCTGGATCACACGGCATCTCCTGAGGCTGCGGAGCTGAAGGCAGAAGACAGCAGACAAGGTAAGGGAGAGGGGAGAGGGCAAGTGAGCCGGTTGCGGCAGTGAGCAGGCGGGTGAGAAAGGGGTTGGTGGCGGGGAGGGGGTGACGGGGTGAGCGACAGGGTTGGTGGGATGGTGGAGGGGAGCCCCAAATTGTCCTCCCAAAATGTTTGGGGGTGTGACACCCTAGGATGGGTCCTGCCTACCTCTTTGGTGGCCTATAAGGAGTTGAAGAAGCTGCCCCCCCCAAAGGCGAAGTTGCACTTTTCTGAGTCATGGTGAAGCAAATGAAGCTATTAATGTCCAGGGCAGGCAAGCAGGAGGAATGTGTTTTGAATAGATTTATACACAGAATTTAGTACTTCTGACTGGATCAAGCTTTCCTCACATCTGGCTGCCTCCTGTATTGAGCAATCCCGTCTGTCTGAGCTGCTCATACATTGTCAGGTGCTTTTTAAATAAACAAATAAGCAACTAAATAAAGCAAGCCTGCAAGATTTATATGCAAAAATGCACATCAAAGGTAATATAATAGGTATAATATGTATAAAAGAGTTATGTGTTCTTACTTTAGGAAATGTGAAATGTGGTATGGGTATAGTAGGCATTTATTATAAAAATGCATATGAAAATACATGCGGCATACAAATAGTTTCAGTAAATAGCATATTGTTACAAGCCCCCAATCTCTGAACAGTACGTTTTCTCAGGGATCCCAGTACATATTTTGGTTTCCTTTGAAGGAATGTCACTGTTGGGTTGTGGTTTGTTTGTTTGTTTACACATACAGACTGAACATAAGATGGGAGGAGCCTAGCGTTAATACTCCAACAAATCTTGTTCCCTCAGTAGGCTTTGGGTGCACAAAACCCACAGTTTTGGGTTCTCACAGAGAGCAAATCGGGCCTCTGTATGATTCTAGATCTTACCTCAAGACTGAGGTTCCTTCTGTTCTCCTTCAGACACACACCTTGATGCCAGCTCCTTCATCCAAATCAATTGAGAAAGGTCTTCTCATTTCGGCTAGGCTTCTAGAAGCATCTTCAGCTGTTTAGTTTCTATGGCAACACTTGGGCCAAAGCTAACATAACAAAGCCAATACTTAACCCACCTGGCAAGGGTCATTTACTTAACAAAGAAAGTGGTTTGACTGGTTTTTTTTAGCAGTCCCCCTTTCTTTGCAGAAATCCCATTTTACTGAAGATATAAAATCACAGGTTTGGAGAGGACCCCCAAACCCATTTAGTCTAGCCCCAAACTTACTGCAACCCATTAAGTGAGCCAGTTTGTGCTTGTAATATGTACGACGTATTTTGATGCCCTCCCCCCATTTCCAGGAATAGAAAACATGCACTCTTTTGTGTAAAGTAATTACAATGTGAATTGCCTGGTGGGAACCATTTCTTTGATGAGGCATTTTTTCTGAACATGCACAGACAAAGGAAATGATTTCCTTACCAAGAGAAATCACTTCAAAGCTCTCAGGCCAGGCCCTAGACCAGCTCAGGTTTCCTTTCTGTTCAGCACAGTATGGACAACAGCTCTCACAAAGACTCATATTCCTCACGCCTGGTTTGAATTTAAGCTGATGCCGAGCCCAGAGTGGAAGGGACTTGCAGGTCTACCTTCCCTGCCAAACACACATAGCCTGCCCTCCCCTTGCTGCCTGTGTGTGTTTTAATGTCTGTGGCATTCTCAACAAGGTTTCTCTGCTTCTTAGTGCTTTGTGGTGTTCTTGCTCGCCTGAACATTATTTCAGCCAGGTTGTGTTGTTCTGACATCTCTCCTTCTCTTAAGAAGTCTTCCTCTGTCAGAAAAGAGCTTTGTTTGTCATCCTTCTGCCCCTGCCTCTTGTGAAGGTGAGGTGGAGGACGATGGTACTCATGAGAATGAAATGGATTGAGAATAATTTTGCATGACAACTGCTGGGGATCCAATATCGCTTTGCTGGTGTTGCTTACAACACTAACACTTGGAACATTTCCAATAGCTGCATGGCAGCCCATTGGCAATACGTGCCAAATACTTGTTTTATGGGGCAGCTTGAGCACAGCCCTTGCATTTAGTGCCGTAGAGAAACTGAAATACGTTTCTTACCAGTTTCCCAAGCATCGTGCCTCTTGCACTCTGAATGTCGTACCCCACTATTTATTTAAAACATTCATATATTTCACTCCTTCATTCCGTTTGGGATTTCATGATGGTGTACAAGAATTTGTATCTTAGTAGAAACAACAGTAAAATAACAGATAAAAGCAAACGTAACAATAATTTACAAGAATATGCCTACTTACATTTTCGCTGGGCACCTGAAAGGTTGTAATGTTGCCACAAGGAGAATCTCTTATGGCATTTCGTGGCCAGGCTGAAAAGGCCCTTCCCTTTGCTATGTAATAGTGTACCTCCAGGAGGCACCTAGTGAAGATCATCATCAGGAGAAGATCTTAAGAAATAGGCATACAGCAGGAAGGGAAAAATATGTCCCTCTAGAAAATGTTGTTGGACTTCTCCAATAATCCCTGGCCTTTGCTGGCTGAGGCTGATGGGAACTGAAGTCCAATAGATTCCCCATAACTGAGCTAGGGATAGGCAAGGCTGCTTAATGGTAAAACTGGTGTTAATATAAGAATCCAGCAAGCACACTGTGTACAGAGTTGTTGTTTTTTTGTTCCCCCTCCCCTGTGACTCCATAGATTAGAGTGTCACTGCCAAAATAGAAAAGAAACCCACACACAGTGCTGCAATAGGTGGAGAGGTTTAAATGTCTCTGTCAGCCCAGCTCCCTGGTGCAAGTAACCTCCTCGGTTATCAGATGGATCATTTGATAAGTATGGATGAGATATGGAGGGACTGTGTGTGTATGTCCTAGGTGTGTGCCAGTGTGGTGTGAAAGTGTAAAAAATAAAATAAAATTAGTCACCCATTTGAACTGTACGCAAGATGAGTTCAACAATGCACATTCATTTTGAAACAATACCATTGGCACCAAGTTCAGCACATTAAAACAGTAAACAAACAAACAAACCATTTTTCCTAAGGTCATATAATGTTCTGTGCATAAACTTCAGAGTTAGGATATCCAATTATACAGACTTCACCTGATAACCTTAGACCCTAACTTTACAGAGAAGACTAGAATTTGACACAGAAGAAGAAGAAAGTGGGACATTGCAGAAGATCAACAGAATTTTCCGTGCTTAGTTTTAGCCTAGGATATGTGAAAGGAGATGTAAAGTGGACAAGCCCACCACTCCAAGTAGCTATGGAAGAAGCTCTTGAGAATCCCAGGTTTTCAGATGTGCCTCATCTATTTACAACTGTCCCTGTTTGCTTCCTGGACATCAGGTGGATTTGTCCATCTGCCTAGCAGAGGGATAATCAACATTGTGTCCTGCAGGTGTGGTGGACAACAACTCCCATTGGCACTAGTTGGCATGGCCAATGGTCAGAGATGAACATCAGGAGGGTACCACATGGTCTAGTAATTTATCTTCGCCAGAAGCGGCTTAGTCATGCTGGCCACATGACCCGGAAGCTGTACGCCGGCTCCCTCGGCCAATAAAGCGAGATGAGCACTGCAACCCCAGAGTCGGCCACGACTGGACCTAATGGTCAGGGGTCCCTTTACCTTTACCTTTACCTTGATAAATACATCATCCTTTTTATCGTTGTCCAGACAGATCAATAGACCAGGTGGTTCACCTCTTAGACCTGGCTCTCTGTGTGGAGAAAAGAGCTGTTTGTTTGACAATGCCTCTAGAAGTGGGACTGAGGTAGAGATTGCATGGAAGTGTTATGTCTTTGTGAAGGAGGCTGAGCAGTAAAACAAAATGTACACCTAGCCCTTCTGGTCTTCTGGTAATCTGGAAGCCTTTTACCCAAGAGTGAAGCTCACTAGACAGTCAAGCTAACACCTCCAGGAATCCTCTCCATAGAAAAATATGTTTCAGCTTAAGACGGGCCACGTTTAGAAGAAGCTGCAAGCGGCACCTCTTCGCTTGAGCCTTTCCATCTGTTTAAGCTGTGAATCCTAAGTTCCTAGCTGTCTGCTTAAATTAAAAGCTGCAGGCAGCAAGGGACCATGACAGTTTGTTCTTCATTGTCAGAGTGATAATCACTCAGTGCAAGACTCATAAAAACAAATGCAGAAACTAAGGCAGGCAACAATGAACTTTTCAGCCTCTTCAATAGCAGAATAATTCCATCGCTGACAATAATTCATATTCATGAATGGTGGCCGAAACGTGCTGCACATCAGCTTGCATAATTCAAGAGGGTAGATTTCAGTTGAACATTAGGAGAAACTTCTTAATGGTAAGAGCAGATTGATAATGGAACTTATCACCAAGGAGGGTGGTGGCAGCAGTGTGTGTGTGTGTGTGTGTGTGTGTGTGTGTGTGTGGTAGGAGCCAGTTCCTCACTGTGGGTTTCAAGCACAGGTAGGACACCTGTCTGTTGGTGATGCTCCAGCTCTGCATTTGCTGTACTGAGCAGAGGACTGGACTAGCTCAGGACTGGGAAACCTTTGTCAGCCCAAGGGCAACCTTCTGAGAGCTGTGTGTCAGTAGGCAACAAATGTAAACGTTACCTTTGTACATGAGACTCACCCCCCCCTTTAAGTTCTAAATCTAGACAAGCAGAAAGCGTTATTAGCATTCATAGACCTTTTCCATTCAGGCAAAAGCACGCAAGGAGGGTTCATAACAGGACCAGTAATGGATGTGGCTTAGGAAGGTTGTGTGGCTCCATGAGAGTCATGAGGGCCATAAAGAGAGGCTTGGAGGGCCACATACAGCCCCTTGGACTGAGGTTCCTCACGCATGGACAAAATGGCCTTAAAAGCTGTCTCCAGCCTATGATTCTATTTTGTTTGTGTCAAAGCAGGTGTTTGAATGAGACTCTTCATCTTGCGGTCATGGGTTCGAGCCCCATGTTAGGCAAAAGATTCCTGCATTGCAGGGGGTTAGACTAGATGATCCTTGTGGTCTGTTCCAGCTCTATAATTCTATGAATGGTTTGACATAAGCCTACTATGCGGATTGCCCATGTGGAAAAGAGCAGCCTCTTCCCAGCAGCTAGTGGAAAATGGAGACTGAGTCTACTGAGTGTGTTGCTCGTTGAAACTCCTCACATAAATGCACCACCATATGCTTCATACCAAACAGCCCCACCTGGTCCTGTTTCACAACACACCAGTTTACTGTGCAATAAATTGGTCTGAAATGAAGGCCATCCATGTCTGCTGCCATCACCTTGGATCCTGAGCGATACAAATGGAGTTCTGCTTGCGCCACAAGACTTTCCTGTCTTCCCTTCCTACTTGGAGGGGACCTTCTGCCCCACCCTTACCCACCACCCACAATCATGTATGAACTGATTCGGGCCCTAAAACTGTGTTGTAGTCAAGTCAGGAAATACATGGGTAAATTATGTTTTCTGTCTGATGATAAAGGATTCTGGAGGAGTTACTTTTGCAAAACGAAGTGCTGAAACGTATCCTTGACACCTCTTGCCTTCTCAGAATAACACAGGCAACTACCCTTCAAATGCCTAATTACCTCAAAGCATTTTAATTAAAGACTCTGCTTTAAAGGTAACAAGTCAAGCGGATTGATGCTGAGATGGTTCATATTGACAGCCACGTAGAGGTGTGCTGTCTCAGTGGGAACGCTCAGGTGCGTTCGCCTGAGGCACAGCCACAGTACCTATCGAAGCACAAAATCGAGGGGTGGGGGAGCCCTGAGCACACTTTGCATAAAAGCACTCATTTGCTGAGAGGGGCTTTTGCAAGGGAAGGGGCTGGGTTCTGGGTCAGACCAAAGGCCTATCAAGTCCAGCATCCTGTTCCCCACAGCAACCAACCAGATGCCCCTAGGAAACAGGTCATGCAGACGATACCCCTCACCGGTTGTTGCCTCCCAGCGACTGGTGCTCAGAGGCATACCTAGAGCAGGAATGGAGAATTGCTGGGGTGGCCTGGCTGGATCCAGCCTGTGTCTCCACATACCAGATGAAGCAGTTAGGCTTAGATTACTTCTGGACCTTTTTGGGTGGGATACTGGCAAATTCAAGACACGCAATTATAGTTGACCGGGAAGTCTTTTTGTGATAAGAAAAGTGATGGCAGAAATGCATTGGAAAGTTTCATCTCATCTAGGGCAGTCCAACCTCTCAGAACAAGTGGGCCACACTTTTACTTACACACACACACACACACACACACA